GGTTAGAACTGAGGAATCTTCGTTTCCTTCATCTGGGCTACTGTCCGGAGGTTTCGCACCCTGATGTTAAAGAAGATCTGTCTGGATGGCAGACTAAAAGACCTGCAGTTTTGACATCTTTGAATTAAAGAATCCCGTGTATGGTCGCAGACCAACCGGTCAATGTCAGATACCCTGATCAACTCCCAAAGAAGTTGTAATTAGGACAATCGTAACGGTTACGCTAACCCGCTGTGACCTCCAGTCATGTGCGGGTAAGGAAGTCAAAGCTGAGCATCTGCTTCATGAAACGACTTCTCGTTTTCATCTTTATAAGGGCTGTTGACTCACTGGCCTAGATATCTCCGTTTTCCGGTTCGATCCCTAATTAGTCGCCTTTACGTCATGTTAAGGGACAGTTGATCTTTCTCAACCCCAAATGGCGCCCCTGGAACAATGAATGAGAAAAATGAATCTGAAATCGCCTTTTCTGAGAGAGCTCAAGGAAGGGAAATATACAAACGGTCAGCAACAAGGTACACGTGACGGAAGTTTGTTGCACTTGCTGTTGTTAGAACAAAAGCTACGCCAACATTCCAGCTTCCACCTTGAGAAAGTTGAACCCCAAACATGTCGTTCTGACCCCGTGTGACCCCCGGAAACCTCACAACTTGAGATATTTCACTGCCACTGGGTCAAGGGCAAGACTCGGGCGGCGCTGCTTCAGTTTTTAGGTTGTTATGATAATGTAGAGATGAGTCAGGGTAGTCATCATCATCATCAGGTGCCTGGCCGACTGGCGTGGGCGATCATGCCTCTACGTATTCCACGATCTCCTGCAGCATGTATCAGTGCCGACAGACCTCCATGCCATGCAACAAGACTGCCAAGAGTCTTCTCTCGTTGTCTTCCTTTATCCCTCCTTCCACAGATCTTTCTAGTGGTCACAACATGTTCTTTTTTCCCTCTTTTCAAAACATGGCCGAAAAATTATGACTGTCTCCTTCTGATGTCTGTGATAAGTTGTCTTCGGGCTCTCGTCTCTTTCAAAACCTTTTGGTTGCTCTTTTTGGCTGTCCAAGGTATTCTAAGCATTCTTCTGTAAAACCACATCTCTGAGGCCTGAAGATTTTGTTTGGCCTGCCTACCGAGTGTCCAGGATTCACAGCCATATGTTAAAACTGGATGTATGTAGCAAGCAAGAATTCTTTTTCTAACTCTCAGTGACAAAGATATATTGCACAATATATTCTTCATTTTATAAAATGCAGTTTTTGCCTGTCCTATTCTGTTTCTTATCTGAGTTATGCATCTTCCATCTGATGTTATCTATGAGCCCAGATACTTAAATTTATGTACTTGTCCTAAAATAATACCATAGACTTTTATTACACATTTAGGAAGGGGGGGGGGGCGGGGGGAGGCGTTTACTACCCTGACGGTCCATTGGTTAACCGTCAGTGTAGTAAACGGTCTTTTTTTGTGTGTTTGTTTTTGTTTTTTAAGAGAGGCTGTAGGTTACACCGGGCCGGTGTGGCCGAAATGTGTGCAATATTTATAACTTCTTTAGAGATTGAACGGGGTATTTGAGATTTGCCCTGTCGGCTTGCCATCCTGAGATTTTGTAATGTGAGCGTGGTAAAACCATCAGGGAGCAGTCGGGGTAAAATTGGGAATAATGAAATGCATGGTATGCCGCTGATGAACAGTTCTTTGCTTACCGTTAGTTTAGCGCCAATACATAGGCCAATTGTGACGCAATCACCAAGGTTAAGGAAAGGTTAAGCCATACAAACTGACTTTATTTTTTTTTAAAACTGCGGAACGCAGTCCTGTTAAAGATGCAAAAGAAAGTGTGCATAAACAAATTAACGATCTAACTGGAAGAAAGATACGAGTGAACACAAGATGTCTGAAATAAAAAAAGGAGAGATCTTAACGAAGGAAGATGATGTAATAACTAGATGGAATGAATCCATAAGAGAGTTATATGATGGAAAGAGAGTAGAATTATCAGGGGGGGGGAAAAAGAAATTGAGAAGGTGCTTGTATACTCAAGGAAGAAACTATCGATGCTATTAAACATATGAAGAAACCATGGACTATATTGACAAGCGAAAAAGAATAAAGAGCCTCATAAATCACACTAAATCAGAACGTCAGAAAGAAAAACTAATGTTAGAATTTAGCGAACTAAATAAAATGACCAAGAAAAGTGCCAGAGCTGACAAGAGAAGATTTACATGAAAAGCATGTCAGTGTATGCTGCATCCAAGAGACCCATTTGCAGGCAGATCAGATATTTAAAGTGAGAGGCTACCAGTGCTTCAGATCTGACAGACAAAGCAGGCGAAAAGGAGGAGTACTCACCCTTGTGAAAAACAGTATCCATCCATGCGAGAAAATGTCTTATATGGATGGAGCTGAGTATCAACTCCTGCAGCTCAAGACAGACAAAGTGGAATTAGAACTCCTTAATTACTACTGTCCCAATGACAAATCGCTAAACCTCAGCTCAGTGCCAGTACCAAACACCAACTTTATTGCAGTTGGAGACTTCAACAGTCATTCACAGAGCTGGGACTATAACCATCTCGACAATAGGGGTGAAGAGGTGAAAACATGGCAAGATGACCACTCTCTGATCCTGATAAATGCCCCCTCAGATACTCCTACCTTCTACTCCAGAAGGTGGCAGACAACGTCAACCCCAGATCTTGCCTTCTCTACCCCAGATATATCTGGAATGATAAGTAGAGAGGTGGGAGACCAGCTGGGGGGCAGTGACCATCGCCCGATTTTTCTCACTGTCCAGAATGTAGGAGTTAATACAGGCCCAGTCATCACAAGATGGAACTACAAGAAAGCCAACTGGTGCCTGTACAGACACAGGACAAGCACATTGTTGTCTGCTCTCAAGGTACAAAATAGGGATATCAATGCTATAGTGCACGATTTCAATAGAAGTATTCTACAAGCTGCAAAAGAAGCAATCCCCAGAGGCTGTCGACACAACTATAGACCGTACTGGTCCAGCACACTCCAGGAATGCCAGAAAACAATGAATCAGGCTAGAAAGGATGCAGAATCCCAACCTTCACCTGACAACCACATCAAATGGAAAAAGGCTGTAGCAGTGTTCCAGAGAACTAAACTTGAAGAAAAACGGAAAAGCTGGAGAAATAAAACAGAAGCTCTAAACCTTGATAAAGATGGCAAGAAACTCTGGAGATTAGCCAAATCACTCAATGAAGAGAGTTTCTCGCCTAGACAAACAATCACGCTAAGTGATGGTGACAAAATCTTCAGAGGAAAACAAGCTGCAGATTTGTTTGCCAAAACATTCAGTGTTGAAAGCAACCTGACCCTTAATCAGAGAGAAATAAGGAAAGAAATACAAACAAGCAAACAAACAAATAAGAGACAGACAGATACTCCTGCCTCTATGAGGGAGCCATTTACCATGGGCGAACTACAAAATGCCATCTTTAGGCTTAAGTTAAAAAAGTCTGCAGGTCCAGATGAAATCAGCAACGAAATGCTAATCAACCTGACCTAATCTGCTAAAGTAAAGCTGCTGGAAATTTTCAACATCAGCTGGGAGAAAGGTTTAGTGCCTCAAGTATGGAGAGAAGCCATCACAATATCCATTTTAAAAAAAGGAAAAATTAAGACACAGGCTTCGAGCTATCGCCCAATTAGTCTCACAAGCTGTGTAGGAAAGACATTGGAAAGAATTGTAAATTCAAGACTGAAATGGCACTTAGAATCTGAGCAGATCTTGGTGTCACAGCATAGAAGATCAAGTCACCTACCTGTCACAAGCTGTAGAGGATGCCTTCCAAGAGAAGAAAAAGGTCCTGGCGGTATGGGTTGACTTCAAACAAGCTTTTGACAAAGTCTGGAAAGATGGTCTCATTGCAAAACTGAAGAGAAACGGAATCCAAGGAAACATGCTAAAATGGATCCAATCCTTCTTACACAGCAGGAGAACTAGAGTCAGTCTTGATGGCCAGCAGAGTAGAAAAGTGTTACTTCGGCAAGGAGTACCACACGGAGGAGTTATCTCTCCAACTCTATTTCTTGTGTATATAAATGATCTGGTGAAAGACCTCCCTACAGGAGTAAAAGCTGCCCTGTATGCAGATGATCTGGCACTCTGGTGTACCGATGAACACACCACAGTGGCAAATATAAGAATGCAGCGAGCAACAGATCTCTTGATGACATGGGCAGAAAAATGGCATGTTGCCATCAACACAGACAAATCATCCACAACGCTTTTCTCTCTTTCCACCAGGGACAAAGCTGCTAGTATTCACCTAGGAACATCCTTGCTAAAGGAAGAAAGCTTCCCCACTTATCTTGGAGTAACATTTGATAAAAGGCTCACATGGAGCAAACATATAGAAAATGTAGAAGGGAAGGCCAGGAGACGACTAGGCCTACTTAGAAAATTGGCATGTACAGGATGGGGAGCAAATGGAAAAACCCTAAAGAAAGTTTATAATGGAGCGATAAGACCCCACTTGGAGTTTGGTGCAACAGCATGGTCAACAGCTGCTAATTCCCACCTGCAATCGTTAGACAAAGTGCAAAATCAAGCTCTTAGACTCATCACAGGATCCATGAAAACTGCACCAATCCTGAAGATGCAGAAAATAACTGCAATGCAGACATTGTCCTATAGAAGAGACACTAAAACTATGATCCAGATGGAGAAGTTTAATAGTATGCAGTCACACCCAATGAATAAAAGGTTAGATGATCTGGCATTAGGGCGTCTCAAACGTAGCAGCTTTGTCCATCGGGGGAAAAGACTTAGAAGACAGTATCAAGCTGATCTACCTATTAGAGCAACACCGCTGAAACCTACCCTATACCCTGTACCTTGGGAGCAAGTCAGTGATACAATACAGGTAATGACTTCAGTCAATGGATTCACAACTGGAGATGAGTCCAATGATCTTCAAAAACGAACAGCTGCTCTTAGCATGATTCATGAAAACTATCCCGAACAGTCATGGATACATGTTTACACAGATGGATCAGCAACCAGCGCGGTTAAAAACGGGGGTGCTGGAGTCTTTATTACATACCCAGGCAACCACCGCCACACAAAGTGGATACCCACTGGTAAATTCTGTTCCAACTACACAGCAGAGATTGTAGCACTAGAGCAGGCTGCCGAAATGTTACACAACACCAGTTCTGACTGCCACCAAGTGGTTATATTCACAGATGCACTTTCAGTGCTTCAAGCCCTCAAGAGTGGCAAACTCCCTCACTTGAGATCTAAACTTGGCAAGGTGGCTGCCCAAAAGTGTACTGTACTCCAGTGGGTGCCATCCCACTGTGGTATACCAGGAAACGAAACCGCAGATAAACTTGCTAAAAAAGGGGCAGAATGTGACCAGGAAGAGAATGCAGTAACATACTATGAGAAGAAAAGGGCCATCCAGGCTATTAGAAGTGAACAGAGTCTGGCCATAGATGACTACCACTTACTTGACCGGCATGGGCAGGTCATTGTCCTACGTCTCAGGACAGGACATAACAAACTTAACCAGCATATGCACAGGCTTCGTCTAAGTAGTTCACCTTTTTGCCCTTGTGGGCTATGTGTGCAGACTACAGAACATGTCCTGCAAGACTGTCCCTTGTTCAGCCCATTAAGAAAGGAATACTGGCCCAGTGAGTCACCACTGTACACAAAGTTGTATGGGACTAAAAATGAACTCATTAAAACAGTCAAGTTTATCACAAGAACCTGTCTGTCGGTGTAAATCAGAAAGCGAACACAAGAAGAAGAAGATTTACGGAAAATCTTGCAGAAACGGCAAAAAATGCTGCTTAAGCACATGATCTTCAAACCCTACACAAAATTACCCAGCAAATTTGCGGAGGCAGAAAAAAATATCACAGCATACCCATCAGAGATAACCAAGGCAGACTGCTCACCACAGAACAAAAACAAGACATGCAGTGGACTAAACACTTCTTCGACCTCTTGAACAGACCTGATCCTGAAAATCCCCCAGATATTCAACCAGCCTCTCTGGACATTGACATTATTACTGAACCACCAAGCAAACAAGACATCCTTAAAGCTATCCACACTTAAAGAATAACAAAGCACCAGGCAAAGACGAACTGCCAGCAGAACTTCTCAAAGTAGATCCCAACACAACTGCTAGCATTCTAGAACCATTGTTCAAGGATATTTTGGAAAAAGAAGTGTTGCCTGATGACTGGACTGAAGGAACAATAGTCAAAATCCCCCAAAAAAGAGACTTAACAGACTGCAATAATTGGAGGGGAATTACTCTACTCTCAGTACCAAGCAAAATGTTTTCTAAAATCATCATAATGCGGCTTGAAAAAGGAGTTTATACATGCCTACGAGTGGAACAAGCAGAATTCAGAAGACAGGGATGTGTTATGTCATCTCTCCTCTTCAACCTTGTGATTGATTGGATACTAAAGAACACTGTAGACAAGACATTGAAAGGCATACGATGGACTCAATTCACCATGCTTGAGGACCTTGATTGTGCAGATGATATAGCACTTCTATCAGATAAACATGAACATGTACAAGAAAAAAGTAACAGACTAAACAGCATAACAGAAATGGTGGGACTGAGAATAAATACAAAGAAAACTAAGATCATGACAAACAGTCCAAACCAACAACCAGTGACCATAAGTAACCAATCTCTTGAAAATGTAGAACATTTCACATATCTTGGCACTGTGGTGTCCCTACTGGGAGGGAGAGAGGAAGACATACAGTCACGTCTGAACAAAGCTAGGGCTGCTTTTGGAAATATGAGGCAAATTTGGAAATCCAACAGTTACTGCAGAGGAACGAAACGCCGACTCTACAAGAGCATCTTTTTGCCAGTTCTTCTTTATGGAGCGGAATGCTGGAGAATGACCAAAAAGGATGCACAAAAGCTGTCCACCTTCCACCACACATGTCTACGTAGAATTATCAAAATTTTCTGGCCAAATACAATCTCAAACACTAAACTACTTCAAGCCACAAACCAAGAAACTTTAGACAGTATGATTACCAAGAGAAGATGGAAATGGCTTGGCCACGTTAAGAGAATGACTTCTGATATACCTGCCAAAACAGCTCTCACATGGACACCAGAGGGAAAAAGAAAACAGGGGCGCCCAAAAACAACATGGAGACGAACGATGGAAAGTGACCTGAGTGCGGCATCTTTGACATGGAAAACTGCACTGAAGATTGCACAGGACAGGAAAGCATGGAAAGTCCTCTCTGAAGCCTCATGTGCCATTAGGCATAACGAGAACTGATGATGATATGAAGAAAGGAAAGTCAACTGGGTCAGATGAAAAAATTGTAGCAGAAGAATTAGAAGTACTGGGGAAATTTGTGTAGAAATATTAACTAAACTGTTGAATGACATTTCTAACACTGGATACATTCCAAATGATATGATGAAGTCTGTATTTATTGTGTTACCCGAAAGACCAGGAGCAAATGAGTGGGAAGAATTTCATACAATCAACGTCTCCAATCATGTCACCAAATTACTACTTAAAATTATAATGCATTTCTTGCAGTTGTGTTTCATTTTCAGCGATCAACACTATGTCGTCAGCATTTCACAGGTTGTTAACTTCTCCATCTTCTTCTTCGCGTTCACCAGCTGTAAACTCTGGCAGAAAGTTCTGGTTGCTCATCCATTTCTGGAATGTAGTCTTGTTACAGAACCCGAGTGTTGCGTGTGCATCCGTTTTACAGATCTCATTTGTATGCAGACTGCTGGTCCCTTGCCTCTCAGGCAGATGCACTCCAACTTCGAAGGAAGCTCCTAATTAGTTGACTCTTACAACATGCTTTTGGATAGACAGTGGGTCTGTTCTTGTTTCTCCTATAATAGGCCCCGTTACCCACACGGGGAAGGTTGTTAACAGTATGCCCACCAACCGCTATTCCTAGTATACCATATATGGATCTAATTATTATTTCACTATACAAATTAAAAAAAGAAATCCGGTGACAGTTCACATCCCTTATTTCTTAGCCTGTGTTGAATTCAGTCAATTCAAGGTACACCAATTTCATCATCAACATCCCGTAACACTACGTGTCGTTGGGTCACCAGTTTCTGTTGACTGTCTGATCAGCTCTGTCCATCTTTGGTGGTCAATTGCGATGGACTTCATGGTTGCATGCCTGAGGCCTGTCCAGTCAGTCAGGTTCTGTAACCAGGTCTTTCTTGGTCTGCCTCTTCTCCTCTTTCCCTCTACTGAGCCCTGCAGTATTGTTTTTGAGAGGCCGTTTGATCTTATTACATGTCCATTCCATTGCATTTGTTTTTTATTGTAGTTAAAAGAGGTTCATAGTTGCCAGTGTGCTGTATAATTTTATGGCGAACTCCTTCCTTTGTAATCTGGTCTCTGTATGATACGCCAAGAATTTTTCTGAAACATCACATTTCTAATACTTATATATTTTTTTTCAAGTTCAGCTGTTAATGTCCATGTTTTACAGCCATGTGTCAATGTACAGCTAGTGCTCTGAGCAATCTAATCTTAGTTTTGCATGAAATGTTTTTGGATCTCCATAATGTTTGCTGCTTGGCCAGGACTGATGTTGTCTGGGCAATCCTAGACATGATTTCTGTTCTTGACCCCAAGTCACTTAAAATGGATCCAAAGTATTTGAAATGAGTCACTTGTTCTAATTTGTGACCTTTAACGTAGATTGATGAAATTTTGACAGCTGCATTATTAGTCATTACTTGTTTTTTTTCTGCGTTTATTTCCACGCCATACTTGGTTAATGTTTCATCGAGTAGATTTACAAGCTCGACTAGTTCTTGTTCTTCTCCGGCCAACCCATCGATGACATTTGCACACCTTGCATGGAAATTTTTTTTTTTCGAATGCACTTAACTTTTTGCCCATGGAAATATGAATATGAAGAAATGTTTAAGTAAGAACAGTGGAAAGTTGACGACATCCATCAAATGCAAATAGTTCCATAAAAAAATGTGAGGCAGCCATCATGTGAGACATGTGCGACTTGTTGGATTTTGCCGGGGCTTTTGTTTATTTAAGTTTTACCAAGAGATAGTTATGGGCACTTTGTGCGGTTTCACTGCCACAAGAATGGAGCAATCATTGACTGACCCGTTTGCGATGATGCTAGAACTCCAACTGATTGCCTGATTATCATCCTGCTTATTCCTTGTACGTCACATGTGGCTTCAGTTTAGTCCTTCATATCGTTATGTCGCATGCAACCGTTTATATTTCATGAATGAAATCCAGTCTGGCACATTTGGCCTGTCTCGGCAAAGTCAGTTAAAACAACCTTCCCGTGGGGGGTTTGGGCCCATTGTGTGGAAACAAGAACAGACCCACTGCCTCCTCAAGAAGCATGCCGTAAGAGTCGACTAATTGGGGAATGCCTCGAAGTCGGAGTACATCTGCCTGAGAGGCAAGGAAACAAGGGTCTGTATACAAATAAGCCAAATTTGTGAAACGGATATGCCCACAATACTCAGGTCTTCCGGTCAAAATGGACACTAGGCACAGCCACTGTTTTGAGCCGTGGAAAATTGTGCTTTTGCCAGACGGTGGCCGTTGCATTTTTGCTCCATTTGTAGACTGAAAGGATATAGTTTCGTTGCCCAGCTTCTGAGCTGAGTGCATGGCGTGACCCTGTGAGCTGCGGATTTCATTTGGTATGTTTATCAACTGTGACCAACGTGGTGGTGTGAATTGTAGATTCAGAAAATGGCGCGATGCCTGTTGTCGCAATATTGGGGGTGCCATTATGTGATTAAACTTGATCGCGTGTGCAACTGCTGATCTGTTGGTGACTTCTGCTACCATCCATGATGAACTGCATTTCTAATGTCGGACTGTTTGTGTTAGCACTTCGGATGGCTGCCGTATGCTTTTAATGCGTGTGTATGCTAGTGCATATGCTGAGACAGCAGTCTGTCAATCTTTCCACAAGGAGCTGTAATAAACATTCTGTGTGTTTTTTGTTGGCACTTGAGAGGAGCAACTATGGGTGACCCGTTTGCCATGAAGCTAAAACTAAGATTACCAGATTATCAGATTACCAGATTATCAGATTACCAGATTATCAGATTACCAGATTATCAGATTACCAGATTACGCAGGTTCTGGAAGAAGAATAAAGGTGGATGAACACCCAGAACATTCCGCTGGAGTTTACGATTGATTAGTTAGTTAGTTAGTTAGTTAGTTAGTTAGTTAGTTAGTTAGTTAGTTAGTTAGTTAGTTAGTTAGTTAGTTAGTTAGTTAGTTAGTTAGTTAGTTAGTTAGTTAGTTAGTTAGTTAGTTAGTTAGTTAGTTAGTTAGTTGGGTTATCATCATTGCACTCCGGACATGTCCATAGGTGCTCAGATCCTCCCCTCAGTATAATCCTCAACGTCTGCTGGCTAATAATACCAGTTCTATGTTAATTTACAAGTCTTCTGGCGTGTCTGGTGTGCGTCTCGTTTTTTGCTGTGCCGATCTTAATTCCCAAGTCTGCCATTCTGGCGAGTCATGTGGATTCACTGCCATCAAAGTCCTCTATTCTTCCCATTTCTCTGAGGGCATTGATAATATCAGCATGATCCACAGGCTGACCGTCGGTAGTGATAGCGGATCCAGCCAACCTGTCAGCTCTTTCATTCCCATCGACGCCTGCGTGTCCCGGAACAAAAATAAAGGTGACTTTACGCACAGTGGACTTCTGTAATGATTCAAGCCATTGTCTTCGCACTGAACCTGCCTGAACCCTCCGGATCATACTCATTGAATCACTGACTATACAACGCGGGTGTATTTTTGTGTTTCAAGCCAGGCAAACGCTTGCGTCATTGCTATCACCTCCATCGTCATGCTGCTGGTTGTCATGGAGAAGGCGCCGTTGGCTTTTTTGACTGTTCTGCCCGCTGAGCGTGCTGTGAATGCCCACGCGCTTCTTTTTTGGCGTATAACGGATCCGTCTGTATAGATTGGTGCATCAGCTTCGTCTGAATTTTCACTGATGAGAGCGTTGACCTCTGCATTAACAGCAACAGGATTCTCTTCTCTACATCGCCTGTTGAGTGTGACAATACAGGAAAATGTACAAATAAACGCCGGAGGCACAGGTATCTATTCTGCACCAGGTATTATGTCGGTTACGACTGATGAACGCGAACAAGTAAAAAAAAAAAAAGTTGAACCAATCAATAACCCAATCAGTGCTTTAGTGATGCTATGTTTTCTATCTGCATGGAGAGTGCAGTTCTTATTTATATCCTAAATACACCATTTCGCAACAGCTGCGCCCCCCCCCCCCCCCCCCACAGGAAGTCAATACACAACTCCGCTGGTGCGCTTACAGCAATGATACATTGAATTTCCATGGCGCAGACACAGGATCTCAAGCAGAAAACCTGCGTGACATTTGAAACACGGAAGCCTGCGTAACACTCCAGTCTGACTGAGAAGAATCTCACCATGGGCGTCATTTAGAGCATGACCGTGACTACTGATCCGGAAAATCAAGTCACGTGTGAGGCTAGGTAGCAAATATAGGGCCCGTTCCTGCGAGTTGAGGCGTTTTGAATGGAAGGAGTTTGTTCTTGTCCCCAACCACCACCTTTACTCACTGATTGGTATTCAGAGGGGGATTTTGTCAGAATCAAACTGAACGCCTTTTCTCCCCATAACATTCCATGAGAGTCCGGATCAACTGCCCGGTCTTATATTAATTTTTTGCTTTAAAAATGCACTGAAACCTCCTTTTTGGAGATGTCTTTTTTTTTAAAGAGGTACAGGTAACGTTTTTCACCCCAAACAAACACTGGTTGGCCTTTCATTAATGCTTGCTGACCTTTCACACGTGCTAGTCTATATTACAGAGGTGTCACCATGTGTTGTCTTCTATGCTCTCATCGGCGATGTCGTATATTCTCTATTACATAATGCGACCGCTTTTAATGAACCAAGAACATCTAGAACTGGCCCTAACCCAACCCCAACCCCACAGCCCAAGCCTACATCCCAAGAGAGACTGCAGCCTACGCCGCGTGGTTTAAAGTTAATTCATGTCAGCTCACCCTGATTGAGTTGACTGACCCGTTTGAGTCGCGTATGGAGGAGAATCATTTGTACAAGCTCGAGAAATACAGTGATTTAGCAGCCGGTCTAAGGAGAAACGAGGCTTACACAGTACGGGTATTTGCCGTCGAAGTGGGAGCGAGAGGCCTCTTTTCCACTTCGCTCTACAATGTGGTGAAAGAACTAGGATTGCGCGGTAATGAACGGAAACG